CCAAAGTTTATTTTTTTATAATTAGATTGACAGCGTTTTTCATTTTTCTTTTTCTTTTTCTAGAACTGACGAAAATGTGAAAAGGAAAATTTACGTCTTTCCACGAAATGGGTCTTGGAATTTTGAGCAAGTAATCAAATGATCATTGAACTTTTTTACCCAGCAATATCAATATTCACTATTAATAAATTTAAGGGCAACTGAAGATTGGTAATGGCGGAGACGAACAAAATGAGAAGCGAAGCGAGTACCAGCGTTGGTGGTGGGAATGATAACAGCGGAGGCGAAAGTGTCGTAATCGATGTCGGCCGCCGTAAAAGCTCCTGCGGTTACTGTAAATCCGGTAGCCGCAGCAGTATTTCGCACGGTCAGTCTCTCAATTTCACATAATTACACATATAATTGCATTCAGTTGACTAACTGGTAGTGAATATCGTTTGAACAGTGTTAAAAAGTGTGTAACGTGTTTGATATAGGAAGAAGTTTGAATTTTATTGAGGTTCAATTAGAATTATCAGGTCTGTCTTCGAACTTCCTTTTTGGTTAGAACTTGAAAATAAAGTTATTTTGGAGAGAAATTTGTTTGTCTTACATAAGATCTGTGGGATTTAATGAAGGGCAAGAAATCACACTGATGATGGGCGTATGAAGATTATGAAACTCATGATTGTGAGCTTGATCATGGAGATTTATTACAATTCCTAAATTTTGAAGTTGACTATGGGTTTGATATTTTCATAAACGAACGGTGCTAGCTCGTAAGAATAATTAGATTTTGTTTTTCTAAAGAAAAAAACACGATTTTGAAGAATTGGACTGGCCCATGACGGAGGTCATTGCATAAGATATTGAATCAGACAACAATACCTCTTTTGTGTTGTGTGATACTAAGAAGCCACTGGATGATGATTATGATGATTCATATGAGGACTATCTTTGAGAGTGTGTATATTGGTGGAGCAGGTTGAGGAATTCGAGCATCAGAGTAAACTTACTCCAGCTGATAATAGAGTCGAGATGGAAAAGTATCATTAATTTGCATGCTATTATAGAGGAGAACTGCAAATTTACTAAAATGGAATTTTCGCAGTCAAAATATTCACGTGTATTATTCTTTAAAAAGTCTAGCTAGCTTCTCCGTAGATTAGGGTTTTGGGTAATGGGATTTCTTCCTTAATGATTTTGAACAATGTTGTCAAAAGTTTCATGTCAATGTAAAAGTAATGTTAGATTCATTCACAAACTATGCTTGAAAGTAATCACCCTTCATTATGCTTCTAATTTTTTACTTTACCATGAATATGCATACTTGTGCCAAAGATTTTCTTGGACCGCAATCAAACAGGAAATGATACTCTAAATCATAGTAAGAGTAAATTCTTCCTTCCTTGTTCCTTGTTAGAGGACTCAATTTGTGAAAGCTTTCCTTTATTATTTATTTCTTCTTTCCTCACAAATCTTCTAAATTTGTGGATGAGATGCATCCTGAATTTCAGTTTTTGATGTTGTAGGGTTATGGGCAGAAAGTTTGACTGTTGATGACTATCAAGGTTGGTAATTTTTGCTCTCTCTGTAAGTGGTTAGCTAAAACTTTGTTTTTATGATTTATAATTGCCTAAAAGTTTGTTTATATGATATATTAATGTAGAGTTCATCACATGGTTGATAATAATGTCTTACATTTAGTACATCGTGTCTTGGTTCTCCTTTCCAACTTTAATACTTGGCCTACTGTTTGGTCCACTTAGGTATTATATTTCTTAGTGTTAGATTCTATTGCTTATGAAAATCAACTAGCAAATGAGTTGCCTTTTCTGTTTGTGATTGAGTTTCCTTTATTGGTACCTAGAGAAGAAATCCCTAGCACATGAAATTGAATCGCTATGACTTGAAATATACAGCTCTCATATCCACTCTTGTTAAGATGTAGCTTTTATTTCTCTGAGTTCCAATTGCACTGCCCGTGTGGTTCCTGCGTAATTTTGTTATGCATTCATGTTTCCCGTTGTTTAAACATTTTGGTTCACTTTTCTTATTTTTTAAATTTATTTGGAGTAGAGCAGCATGATTTTTCTCAAAGTTCTCTTTCCATAGCTCTTCTTGACAGAGGCTGGAGAAGATCTGGCTGCTTCTTGTACAAACCTGAGATGGAGAAGACTTGTTGCCCTTCTTACACAATTCGTCTCAAGGCCAGTGACTTCATTCCTTCTAAAGAGCAACTTCGAGTGTCTAAAAGGATGCAGAGGTATATTCGTATGGTTCCCTTGTGTATTTTCGTCAATGCTACTACTTTTCAACAAAGACGTTGCACGACAGTTATAATATTGAGCAACTGTGTGCGTAGCTGTTGCAGATGTAGCTGCTTCTGGGGTGTATATTTGAATTTCAGTTTCGTTAATATTTTTTTGGTCTATGATTTTTGTAATAGTCATTCTTCATATGTTTATGCAAATAATATATCTACAAGAATGTGCTCAACAAATGAAATGGCAATCGGACAATTATTGCCGTCAGTTTGGTTACCTAATATATTTGCAACTTTGGCCCTTTCTGATTTTAAAACTTCCTGACTCTGATTATTGTAATGCAATTGATCCAGTTTATTCTTCTGTCGTTTTTTCTTATTCAAATTCTGAGGACCATCGCAATGGATTTTATTTCGAGCTTTAGTGGCTTCTGCTGATCTATACTTTCCAGTTTATTCTTCTGTAATTGTAACTTCTTTACTCATTCAAGTGCCAAGGACCATTGCGTATCATTTTCTTTTGAGCTTAGTGGCTTCCGCTAGTATGTAAAAGTATCTTTGCAATTAAATATTAAGTTGCTCAAATATTTTGCAAAATATGCGTAAAAATAGTATAAGAGCAGGATGACTTTTTGTAGGTTTCTTGATGGCCAGTTAGATGCGAAAAGATCAGACAAGTTATTAGATGAACCAAATTCATGTGAGGGATCATGCAGCAATGCAAAAAATCTAAGTGCAAGTTCTTCTGCAAAGGAGTCCTTGGAAGCTGACTTCGAAGGTAAAGACAAAGCCAATCAGTTTATGCATTATGCGTCACAGCAGATTGATAATATTGTACAATCATGCGTGAAACATTGGGAGCTTTTTGGCGACATTCAGTTGCCTAAAGCTTCTGTGAAAAAGGTTGCACCAGCTAAAAGAAAACTACTAGCAGAAGAATCAGAAGATCTTGTATATTCCTGCAATATTGCATTCCAGATTGCAGCTACTGTAAGACGAAGCAAGACAGATGCTGAGCAGATGAAATCATTAGAACAAGGTGTCGGAGAAAATAGGCACCCTACTGAGCTTTCGCCTAAGTTGATTGCAGAACTTTTGGCAAGTCAGTTAAAAGAGCCGGCGAAATTGTCTGGTTTGTTAATTAGAGCTTGTAATGGACACATCAATTTTTATTCTACCACAGAACAGGCTCACTCAGTCAAAGGTGGAAATGCTACAAAACCAACACAATCTTTTACAGCAAGTGGTGGTAACCGTTGTTTAAAGAAAACCAGTGGACAACCCAATGGCCAAAAGCGTATGTTTGAGATTTGTTTGAAAAGGTCAAGCTTTGATTATGAAGAATATTCTTTGTATAGGAAGTACCAACTTAGTGTCCATAATGACACGGAAGATCATGTCAGTGAAGATTCGTACAGAAGATTTTTGGTTGACACTCCCTTGGTATATGTTCCACCAAATTCTTATGGTGCAGTTCCTCCTTCTGGCTTCGGTTCTTTCCATCAGCAGTATGTCGTTGATGGGAAGCTAATTGCAGTTGGCGTCATTGATATCCTCCCAAAGTGTGTGTCTAGCAAATATCTATTCTGGGACCCTGACTTTGCCTTCTTGTCACTGGGAAAATTCTCGGCTCTTGAAGAAATAAGATGGGTTAGAGAGAATCAAGTACATTGCCCCAATCTCCAGTACTACTATCTTGGCTATTACATTCACTCCTGCAGCAAGATGAGATACAAAGCCGCATACCAACCATCTGAACTTCTCTGCCCTCTTCGCTACCAGTAAGTACAATTAAATTTTTTTGCAACCTCAAATCTTGCAAAAATTTGAAGTGTAAGATCTATCTTGGAAAGGTTCGTCAACCAAAATCTTTGGAAAAACATTCATAGTTTGTTGACTTTCATATGGACATTTTTAGGGACTAGGATTCAGTTCTTCAATTCTTGTGGTTAACCTAATTCATATCAAGGCACCGAATAGACAACATAAAAAGGATGTTGTAGGTGTTAAGACTGCTCAAATTTGAAAGATCAAACTATCCTAATACCTAAAGGTACAGATGTTAACTGATACTTTCATCAGTATTATATGAGCGAAATGTTTGCATGGAAGTGGATGTGACTGCGTCTGTCGACTGTGATGCTTATTTTCTACAATGCATCTAAGGTATACGATACTATTGTCTATTTGCATTTTCACTAGAATGTTGATATCTGCAACTCTGAAAATGCCTTGCTAAGTCTTTGCAATTGAAAGATATTTAGTTGTATATAAAATTCACAACTGATCCTGCTTCTAAGAAATATTTCGAAAACGATATTACCCCAACTGTTTATTCACAATCTCTATGTACATCATCAATCAACAAATTCTCATTTGGATTAACTTTTAGTTTCTCTTCTTTACATAATACTTTTTAACCTATTCTAAATTTGAATTTAACAAATGGGATTCTACCAATAATAATCAACTCCATGGAATATTAGGCATAAAAAATTTGAGATCTACATACTCGAAAGATCATATTACAAATATTCACTATTTGTTATCTTCTAGACTTCAATGCTTTGATTGTCTAAGCTGTTTACTTGGCAATTATTAGTCCTTATTCATTTTGTTCATATTTTAATTTTTATGCATGAAGGAAATATAAATAGAGGAAAATTAAAGAGTGCAAATATTAAGTAGGCCATTTCCATTTTAGAATGAAGATCGAAACGGAACAAAATATGTCGTGTATTCCACTGTGCCTTACCAGTCTCAGTAAACCTAGGAAGGGGCATCAGAGGTTCACACCACCCAAAGCCTTTATCGATGTTTTGGAAGGCTAAAACGAAATAAACTCTCCTTACGTGGACCGAGCTTCCTTATACTGGCCCCAATTAACCTTAAGAATTTGCATGACAAATTATTATAAGATGGAAGTAACAATAAGACGATGTTATAGTTTCTAGTTTTTACAATTTGGCTTTCCATATTATTAAATATAGCTCACTGCATATGTAATATTTATTGTTAGGAGACCGATCAAAATTTTTTACTTGAGCTTGGTTGTTTTTTTTATTCACTAGATTATTTCTGTTTGTAAAAACTGATGCTCCATTCTGGATTGCAGA